AATAGTTGATAACACCCTTTGCAATTACACCTTGTTTTTGCAACCACTTTTAAAAGAATGTTCTTCGCCTTTAAAGACGAGGCTTATGTGTTGTCAAATGGGTGAAAATCGACCTAGCTAGGTTGTTTTCTTGGGGGGGGGGGGGGGGTAACACATTATTGGTGAATGCGCAGCGTGTTATTTTAGAATATGGTACCAATGCAACGTCGTCTAAAGTTCATATGTATATTTCCAAAAAAATTCATAATGAGTTTTTAATTTTTTATATATTTATACGGGGTGTTTCAGAATAAAGTACCGTAATTTTGGAGATTTGTAGATCTTAATCAATTATTAAGAAAAGCTAAATATAATTTTCCTATAAACGTCCCAGTTTTCATCCTAGAAGGTGATAAAGTGGATTTCATAAATACATATTTTCTAAATATCTTCCCTTACAGAAAAGTCTTTAACTTAAAAATATGTATATGATAGTTAATCGTTATTATTAGTTAACACACTATTTCGTTAAATTACCATAACCCATTGGTGTAGAATGAAGGGCTAAAGAAACAATTTTATTCAAAACTTTTTGAACACCCTATTTTTCAAAAAATTTAAGATTAATAAATATTTCTAACGCCATTTGTCACAAAAGATGGACTTCTGGTTGATCTTTATAGACTTTTCCATTTCCGAGGTGATAGAACTGATTTATTTTATACATGAAACATGTCTCAAATATGGCTAATTTTAAGTTCAATTTACTCAATTTTGTCAAATGCAACACACTGTATATTATTTTCGCATAATATTCCTTATAAATTTACCCATCCAACGATACCAACATGTCCCAATAGGGCGTAATTGATCGATAGCTGTCTTATTATTGAAAATAGGAAAAACAAATTAATATAAAAGTTGTATGACCATGTTTAATAAATGTTCTTAAATATACAGGGTGGTCCATAAACGAGGGGCTGATCAAATTTATACATTTTTATATTTAATTGTTTTCACATCGTCAAACAACTTTAATAGACTTAATTTATTTGCTATGTTGTACATAGAATGTTTCAAAACGAGGGGTAACGATTTTCTTATTTTTTTTTTAAATGGAATACCCTATATGTCATACCACCAATTAATTAATACCGGATATTCCATTTAAAAAATTGAGAAAATCGTAACCTCACGTTTTGACACACCCTATATACAACATAGCAAATGAATGAGGTCAATTAAAGTTGTTTGACGATGTAAAAACAATCAAATATGTATTACTACCTGCAGGGTGTTTTGCTTTAAAAAAGTAAAGATTTGGTCAGCACCTCATTTATGGACCACCCTGTATATTTAAGAATTTTGTTAAATATGGTCATACAACTTTTATATTAAACATTTCTTCGTATTTCTAATAATAAAACAGCTCTCGATCAATTATGCACTGATGGGACACCCTGTATATGTGTTATTGACTAACACATTGGTATTGTTACATAGCCAAATTTATAAAGAATTTTATGGCAAGATAATATACACTGTGTTGCGTTTGAAAAAATTGAGTAAATTGAACTTAAAATTAGCCATATTTAAGACATGTTTCAAATCACTCTATATAGAATAAACCAGTTGTACCACCTCTCTTAGTTAGCTTAGTATTTTATAAGTCTGTATATTAAACAATTTTGAAATTAATGTAAACCTGCCTAAATTATGATAATTTAATTTGGGGTCTGCATCATTCTCTAATTAAAAAAAAAATCATTGTTTGACAACACTGTAATATTTTTTAAAAATACAGTATTCCCAAGTCATTCTAAAAATAAAATATAGAGTGTTTTAAAATATGTATTTTTCAAATCCATAAAACTTTTATTAAAACCTAGTTCCGTTAAATAGACAGTTCTTTAAAAAAATGTTCTCGCAGGTAACGTGTTAACAAAAGGCTTTTCAGTTTAATGATAAAAATATAAATTAATAAACACTTTTTAATATGAACCTCTTTTTTATAATGTACCTATTTCATTAGTTCGACGGCATTAAACATTTCTAAATTATTGTAGTCAAACAATTGAGAAAACGGTAATAATATTGAGTTAAAAAAAATATCAACTTTTAGGATTCGCACCCTGTAGATATATTTCTAGATATTTATAAACAGGTAGTTAGATACCAAAATTACGAAAAATCCAGAGTTTTTAAGTCTGCAAAAAGTAACAGTAGCACACTTTTGTTTTTCAATACGATAGGTTGAAATTTCTGAAAAACCAATCAAATAAAAATTACAGTGAATCGCCCCCCGTAATTAAAATTCACTCTGTTATGTATTTTGCCACTGAACTGTATAGAGAAAGTAAAAGTTGAAAAGTCTTTTGGTAGGTAGAGAGGGGGTAAACGTCAAACCACGTCGGGCGGCTTCGTGAATTTCACAGTAATGTTTACCTGCCAGTGTCGTTTCATAGAATAAGTAATTTTAAATTGTTATCGGCGGAACCGGACAATCGCATGTATTTATGGATTATAAATAATTATTAAACATGTATTATAATATTCAAATTATAATTTTACAAAATTTCAACAGCTATTCACAATTTATTAAACTATTTACTCGAAATTGTTATTAACATCTAAAAAATAATTTTGTACGCCAATGTATCGTGTCCACTTCGGTTAGATCCGCTGACAACCTGTCAAGTTATGTGTATAAAGTGGGAGAACTGGCAAAAGCATTTCCAACTTTTACTTCTGTTCTACGTATTATACCTACTAGTTCAGTGTATACTGTATGGTGTCTATTGCCCATAAATGTGCCGTTACATGCCGCAGATGAATGCTTAACTGAGTTTCATACAAGTACTGTTCATAACTGTAAGGTATACGGGGGGAGGTAGAGTACTGCTGTGACTGCGTGGCTGCTGGCGGCTTAAGGGGCTGCTGGCGGCTATGCGGATGTGGCGGAGGCTCTGCTTCTTCCCTTTTTTACAAATTCTGATAAAAGTTACTAGTATTTTATAAAAAGAATGTATATTAATTTTTTTATTTTCATTCTAAAATTAGTTCATCTCTTATTTACATTTTTACAATTTCTTCAAAAGATAAAACCATTGTATTTATCTAAATACAATGATAAAAACTCAATTATTTAAATATTAGTTAACTTTTAGTCTATTAATCATGCATAGATGGCACTCATAAAAATTATTCAAAGACTTTTTATAATCAAACAAAAAAACGGATTATGATGATTATAAAAGTTTCCAACATTAAATTTTGAGCCATTCTCATATTCGTAAAGAATTGACGCGTAAAAGAAACAGATTTTGAAACAATCAGAATAGACATGCACATTGTATGACGTTATTTTAGGTTTAAACAGGGTATGTTTTGGTTCAAACCAGGGACCCGGGCCGTACGTACCGTTAAAAACAGAAAACCTGACCGAAATCGAAAACTTTTATTGGACCGGAACCGAAACTGAACCGTTATTTTATCCAGGATTAAATTTTTAGAACCGAACCGGAACCGTTAATATTTCAAACGGTTCTATGGGTTTTTTCGGTTTCGTTGTTTATGTTGTTACATATTTCTTTTGTTTTGACTAATTAGGTATAGGTCTTTTCCTTTGCATCGAAAGTGTAGCACTGAGCTATATACCACTTCTGAAAATATCGATCAATCCCATACAATTTGTATAAATGAAAATAAATAAAGAATGTTTAAATTATTTTTTACATTATCTTTTACTGCCTATTTTATTTAAATAATATAAGTTTAATTTATGTATTAAATAAAATTATACTACCTCTATTTTAAAACTCAAATTTTTATATTTGTAATGTTTGTCATTTACAAGGAATTATAAAGGTATGGAAAATTTGTGCCGAAAAGAATCGTTTGAACCGAAAAATTTGGTCAGAACCGAACCGAAATATTTTTTAAAGAACCGAATAAACTGAACCGGACCCAAAATTTTTAGTTTTACTAGAACTCGAACCGAACTGGAACCGTTAAATTCATTTCGGCCCAGGTCCCTGGTTCAAACAGAACCGTCTATTCCAGTTCTCATTTAAGGCTGTATGTCACGATACTAAATTAAGTACTAAATTTAGAACTAAATTAATGCATTTGTTAAGTACTAAAAAAATTCACGTTGCAAACAGCAAATTTAGTACTAAAAAAAGTCATTAATTAATTAGATCTTGTTCTATTTTCTACTAAATTTAGTACTAAAAGTGCGCCGAAATGTTGCGCAGAAGTTTTTCACAGAAAAAGTTGACACGACGGTATTTTCTGTACGCTTTTATTTTTAATTAGCCTTGAATAAAGTTCGCCTGTTTGATTTTGTAGGTTTTATTGTGTTTTTTTCGTTCTTTTATGCTGTATTTGGTTGTTGTCAAGTCAACTAGTATCAAATTGATAATAAAAACACCATTTACTTCACTTGTCTGTTTTACACAGAATATTTAATTTCTCTGCTAATTTCACGTATTAATACGTCAATGCGCGTGCGCCTATAGTAAATTTAGTACTAAAAATTGGTACCGTTGCAAACGAAAAAAAAAAAAAATTTTAGTTCTAAATTTAGTACTAAATTAATAACTTAATTTAGTGCTAAATTTAGTACCTACTTAAAGTGGACGATAATTAATTTTTCAAGAATCTGGTCTAAATCTGGTCTAAATAACATCTATCATAAACGTTCATGTTGGTTTATGCCGCGAAAAATACCTTAATCTCTGCTGATGGAGTGTAATTTAGTGATTCTGAACTAGTTTCCGAAAGAACCAAAATAAGCCTACTATTTATAAACAGACGAACTGAACCTATTTAGGTATGGGTACGAACTTTGAAGTACATCTATTTCCTTTGTTTACCTAGTCATCTAGTTAGCAGATAAAATGTTTGTCATTGTATTAATCTTTAAATTTTTATAAATACGTAAAATTTATTATACACTTTGGCTATTTTCTTAGAGTATACATTATGTTATTTATCTTCAATTGCCATATTTTCTTAGACGATGTAAAACCATATTAAAAAATATAAATGTTCGGTCTCTTGACAAGCTGACACCTAGCGGGCCATTTTTGCAATGAACAAATACTTTGATTTCACGATAGATGGCACTATACCTCTAACTTGTACTTGAACACCATCTTTAATCCAATTCCAATCTGACTACCTGATATCTGATCTGGACAATCTATTACCAAAATTGTGGTTGAACTATTGCTGAAGAATATTTGAAATGTATCCAAATTTAAATTTGGGATTTGTTTAATTGCCTCGAACAAGACCTAAAAACAGTCTCTGTAGCGTTAGGTGGGTAAATTGTCTCATGGACAGTGTCCATTAAAAGATTAAAACAAGAAGAAGAAGAAGAAGAAAAATTGAGGTTATAGAGGTTAGTTTTTCAAGTTTTTTAAATTTATTAAAAAAATCATGATTTTACGACAAATAATGCGAGTAGTACATCCCCTGCGACCCGTTACATTGCAAAAAAATATTCTCGCTGGAATAAATGGATCCGACTCCTATTCAACTGAAATTAAAGACTCCGTACCCCAAGAAGAACCTACAAAGAAAAACATTAGCAAAGCTATGAAAGCATATTTAGAAAGAGCTAAGGAACACGAGGATTTTATGCAAAAACAAAGAGAAGAATTTCAAATAGGTAAACGACATTTAGCAAATATGATGGGTGAAGACCCAGAAACATTTACCCAAGATGATATCGATCATGCTATTGAATACTTGTTTCCTTCTGGATTATATGAAAAGAAAGCTAGACCGTTAATGAAACCACCAGAAGAAGTTTTCCCGCAAAGAAAAGCAGCAGAATTTGATGAATCTGGTAGGTATTTATACTATGTTCAGTGTTGCCAGAATGAAGAAACAGTTTGTTATACATAATTTCCTGAAACGTAACAAATAAGACAAAAAAGTTATACATTGTGGATCGAACCCTTTTTTGTATATATCTCTAAGGAGCTAAAAAAATAAATATAAAAAAAGGTTATCACCTCTATAAAGTTCAGCAATGATGTACCTATTCGTGTTCCTTACCTACTATAATATCAGTAATTAAAATGTAACATTTATGTAAAAGGTTATACTCAGGTTAATACTATACTACCATGGACCAAAAATTATTAAATTTATAACAGTTTTAATAGGCTTGCAACACTGAATATGTTACTTTGATTTTTATACCGGGTGTTCAAATTAAAGTGTTACAGTTTATAAAAAAAAAAGTTTCAGACAAAAGTTTTATAGTTTTTTGGGGGAAACATTTTTGCGAAATTAATTTTTTTATAGGTGACTATAATATGGCCGTATCGAGGTGGACTTTTTTTATTTCAAATTGGAACCCCATTTTTTTACATGTTCTTAAAGTTCATAAAAAAATAAGAAACTTTTAAAGGAAACAATTTTTTTATTGGACTTTTACTTATTGAGTAACGCCTACTTGAAAATTTTGCTGCGCAAAAAAAAAGTTGGCCATATTATGGTTAGCTATAAAAAAAGATTTTAGCCAAACTAAAAAAATGTATACATCTACAAAACGAAGATAAACAAATAATAATAACATGCTCTATAAATGTTATTTTTGTGATGTATCTAGTTTTGAAAACACAAAATATTCTCATCGCAAAAAGTACCTACCACATAATTTTGTTTTAATTTTTTGATTTTGGTAGAGTAATACTTGTTGTTTTCATTATTTTTGCCTGTTATTCTTTTAAATTTTAATCAAATAAACCACTGTTAAATATTCCCAAGTGTCATTACCTGCCATTTCCAAAAAGGGTTAGGAGATAATCAGGCCTATGATTGAACACCATGGTTATTATAACTGAGACCGGTTAAGTTATGATAACTGGGCAAGTATAAGTATCTTGATGACAGAAATTGAAAGACGGGTATGACTGATCGAGTATTTAATCATACGTGTTATTTATGCAGTTATGAAAAGAAATAAGTTTTGTTTTTATTCTTAATAGAGTGGGTTCATGTTTAATGGCTAAGTAACACTTCTATGGAAAATTACTTTTTCAATTTTTAAAGAGTTAAAAAGAAGAATTAGAACTATAGTTTTTAAAAAGAGGCCAATAACTAAGAGAATTAGATTTATATTTTTCAGAAAAGTTTCATTTCTCTTCCATAATTTCTCTCAAACTCAAATAACGCATTTTATTTGTGCATTTATGTTTGTAATTGTACCTTTTAAATAATAATTAGTATTTGGAGGTGTTTTATTTTAAAATGGCAAAAAACAAAACTAGTCAGTTGCAGTAGAAGGAGTTGCTTTTTTCTTGGGGGAAAATAAACCCAGTGAAACAAGTACAATTTTAATTAAAAACATGAAACAACTACAAGTTTATTTAAAAATAAGAAACAACTACAATTTAAATTAAAAACAATAAATACTTTCGAACAACGCAAAAATAGAACGAGTTTAAAAGCCAAATCAAACTTGATAAATGTTAAATCTCATCTCATCCTCGTGATACAAAAATTCGACAAAAATTAAACAGTCATGCTTCATCCCTGACCAATCAAAGCTCACAGTTATCCACAATGTAGGTTATTGGCAGCAGTTTTTTAACTGACATTTAACTTATTCAACTGTCAAAAGTCACTATTAAATAACCTGTATAAAGTAACTTGTAAGAGGTCAATCATAAAAATAAATGAAATAACAGAAATAACCCACCAGGGGGTCGATTCTCGACTCGTAGGAATATTTTCCTATAGGAATTTTTGACATTTTTATATACATCGAAAATTTATGATATTTTCCTACATATAGGAAAGTGTCACAAATTCCTATAGGAAAAGGTTCCTACAAGTCGAGAATTGACCCCCAGTTATGAATAACCATGACAGTTATAATAACCATGGTGTTCAATCTTTGGCCTGAATAATAAAAACTTTTAGTCAAAATTCACTTATGAGATACTTTTTGTGATGAGTGAATAATTATTCCAATTAATATTTGTTGAGCATTCATGCAAAACTTTATAGGTCCAGGATCAGCTTTTTTTAATTTTTTTGTGGAAATTGGATTAAAATGCTGCCTTCTAAGATAGTTACAAAAATATTAAACAAAACTTTATAAGTCCCATTGAAACTGGATGTTAAAGTCTGTGATTTCAAACAAAACTAGATTAGTCCCAGTACCTAAAACTAATTATATCATAGTTACCTGAACGAGACTTAACAACATAATTACCTGAACTGGACTTAACAAGTTTTGCGTGAACGCTCCTCATTTAAAATAAGGTATACTTATTTATCCCATTTGTTAGCTAGGTATATAAAGTTAGCACAAATTATGGGGATTTCATCCAATTCTGCCCATCAAACTAATATTACAGTAGAATGTTGATAATCTGTATTAATTGAGACCGGACCCTGTCCGGATTATCAAAATGTCCGGATTTTTAAAAAGAATCAAAAAAGGTCGTTTGAGTTCATAAAAAAAAGAAAATCTGCTAAAATCATTAATTAATATGAACTTACGATGTATTTTAATGAAAGAATGTACATACATATACGGAGTGGCCCAAAAGTCTGGAAACGGCCAATTATCTCGTAAATTGCTGGTCCTAATTGTAAAAAATTTGGGGTATACCTATTTTGGGATACGGAGATTCTAAATTTAATATTTGCAATGTTGCCAGATTTGCCGTTTCTCTTATATTATTAGTCACTTTGGTTTTTCAAATTCATCACCCTGTATATTCAGTCATTATTGGAATCTCCTATTCAATACGAGTTCAACCATATGTAACACTTATGATTTTATGTAGTCTGGAAGGTCTTAAATAAAATAAGTCTGGCAATGCCTAATTGTCTCAATAAATTTTTTAATACAATCTATTTTCAACTACATTAAAAATAACAATTGAAAGATTATAACATTTTTAACATAATGGTTACTTTATCAAGTGTTCAAAATGAGCTCCATTTGTGAGTTGACAGTACTCTAATCGATGGTAGAACGCGTCTACCACATTTCTCCAGGATTGTTTTATTTATTTAAGACCTTCCAGACTACATAAAATTATAAATGTTACATATGGTTAAACTCGTATTGAATAGGAGATTCCAATAATGACTGAATATACAGGGTGATAAATTTAAAAAACCAAAGTGACTAATAATATAAGAGAAACGGCAAATCTGGCAACATTGCAAATATCAAATCTGGAATCTCCGTATCCCAAAATAAGTGTACCCCAAATTTTGTACAATTAGGATTAGCAATTTACGAGATAATTGGCTGTTTCCAGACTTTTGGGCCACTCCGTATACTGTACAATATGGATGTACAGAATACTACCACAGTAGTAATTTGTCAGAGTTTTTAAACAAAAAATATGTTATCGATTTTTGAACTGCAGTAGTGTTTGCTTTTTTGTGGCTAGGTCTTTGATTTGTTTTAATAGAATCCCGATTATTGACGGTCCAGATTATTGACGTCCGGATTATCGACGCTATTTAACAGACTTCAAAGAAAGGAGACGTTTCTCATTAATCAGATATTTTTTATGTATTTCAATAGAAATGAAACACCTCAGTGGTGGTCCCAGTAAATTAGGTCAAAATTTGATGACGCCCCTTAGAAAATCATCAAATTCTTAATTTTTGAAGTCAGCTTTTATAACTTGTTAATAATTAAATATTGTGCTTTCTGAAATATCAAGATTAGTCCAAATATGTTTTTTTTATCATGCTAGTTCAATCAAACTAAAGCCACAATTGAGCTGAATAGTGTTTTATTATTAAATATTGTGGATCTTAAATACTTATCAAAATCAATCTAGGACCTTGCTAAATTTTTTCAAATAATAAACTTTTTATAAACATTTTTCGCTAGAGTGCACAAAAATTTCACAAAATTATAGACATTGTCTACATGAGTTGGGCTAACTTTATATAAGTATTTCTATTTGTACCGGGTGGTTCAATAATTATTGCTTTCGATCTATATCAAGAATCGTACAGCATCGAGAAAAATGTCATTGACTAAAGTGGCCGAAAGAATTTAATTTTATTCCCATTATTTTCTCTTAGGGTTTGTTATACACCCCATTTGTACATGCAAGTCATTCACTTTTACATATATTGAAAGTGGTATGCATATCCAGCTCTTGGTAAAAAAAATTATGTCTAGGAATTGAGATATTTGATTCCGACTATTTTCTCTTTGGGTTTGATATACACCCTATTGGAATATGCAAGTCGTCCTCTTTTACATTTATTGAAGTTCCAAGAAATTTTTTTTTCTAATATCGAGAATTGTTTTTATTTAAATATCCTTAACGCCCTCAACAGCTAACAGTAACAATAATATAAAAAATAATTGTGAATAGGTCAAGAAGATTAATTTCTAAGGAGTCAAAAATTGTTAAATTCCGTTCAGTGAAACCGGAGTAATTAATATTTAAAGAAAATACATAAAATTTATTAATATTTCTTCAAAGAGAAAAATATTTTTTCGATAATTTAGTCTACTTATATAATCCATGGTGAAAACTGGATACTTCCATTTAATATTGTTACCCTGCACCCTGCAGAAATCTACGGTTGTTATAGGTAAACGTAGGAATAAAAAGACGTAGAATGTCACCCAGCTCCCTACAGTGTACTGCGGTGGTTAAAAGTAAAGGTACGAATAAAAGAAAGAGGAATTAAAGTGTCCCAGTCCTTTTAGTTTTCAGAGACGAACATTGAAAAATTGTGGCAAATGGTTCTATGGTGTCTTTTTACCATTCCGTCGCTCTGTGGGTGGAAAGGCATAGTGCGTGTTTTCGTTATGCCTAACATTTTAATTAATTCTGTCTTGCCATAATTCGGATTCAAAATTTCTTCCTTGGTCAGAATGCAATTTCCGAAGGACTTCATGTCTCGCTATGACTTCGTCATGAATGCTTCTACTGTTGTCGCTTCCTGATTAGGAATAGGTGCTCTTCCGGACCACTTTGAAAAATTGTCCATTACAACTATCAAGTGTTTGTTTCCCCTCTCCGTTAAAGAAATGATCCGAGAATATCTATGACGATTCGTTCAAAATGCTCTCCGGAAAGGTACTGTGCCATTTTACCTCGGTTTCTTGTTTTAGGCCCTTTTCTACCATTGCATAAAATATTTTTACACCAATCTTCTACATCCCGTCGGCAATTGACCCAATAAAATGTTTCCCGAACTCGTGCCAGTGTCATTTTAGTACCCTTTTATTTTTCAACTATATTTGGCTATCTTTTCTCCAATTTTCTTTCGTTTGATTTTTCTCAGGCTTTTAAGGTTGATTTCGTCTTCGTCGCCCTCTGGTTTAATAGTGGTTGCCTGAAGACTAACTTTTCAATCGGCTCCTCTCGTTCTTCGAGCCGTTACAGTACCGGCATGTCGTTCTAAACAGGGTCGCCTGGAAAGAAAGTTTGCGTTGCTATAGAGACCATCCATCTAGCAACTTGTTATTTAGTTTTTTTTTTAATTCATCAGCCACTGCAAGGCGCTATGGTCACCGCTAATAATAAAACATCTGTTAAAAAGGTAAGTATGGAAGTCTACTTTTACTTGCAACAACCGCAGCACACTGTATAGGGTGTTGGGTGACATAATACTAATAATAATATATTATATTATATTATATTATATTATATTATATTATATTATATTATATTATATTATATTATATTATATTATATTATATTATATTATATTATATTATATTATATTATATTATATTATATTATATTATATTATATTATATTATATTATATTATATTATATTATATTATATTATATTATATTATATTATATTATATTATATTATATTATATTATATTATATTATATTATATTATATTATATTATATTATATTATATTATATTATATTATATTATATTATATTATATTATATTATATTATATTATATTATATTATATTATATTATATTATATTATATTATATTATATTATATTATATTATATTATATTATATTATATTATATTATATTATATTATATTATATTATATTATATTATATTATATTATATTATATTATATTATATTATATTATATTATATTATATTATATTATATTATATTATATTATATTATATTATATTATATTATATTATATTATATTATATTATATTATATTATATTATATTATATTATATTATATTATATTATATTATATTATATTATATTATATTATATTATATTATATTATATTATATTATATTATATTATATTATATTATATTATATTATATTATATTATATTATATTATATTATATTATATTATATTATATTATATTATATTATATTATATTATATTATATTATATTATATTATATTATATTATATTATATTATATTATATTATATTATATTATATTATATTATATTATATTATATTATATTATATTATATTATATTATATTATATTATATTATATTATATTATATTATATTATATTATATTATATTATATTATATTATATTATATTATATTATATTATATTATATTATATTATATTATATTATATTATATTATATTATATTATATTATATTATATTATATTATATTATATTATATTATATTATATTATATTATATTATATTATATTATATTATATTATATTATATTATATTATATTATATTATATTATATTATATTATATTTTATTATATTATATTATATTATATTATATTATATTATATTATATTATATTATATTATATTATATTATATTATATTATATTATATTATATTATATTATATTATATTATATTATATTATATTATATTATATTATATTATATTATATTATATTATATTATATTATATTATATCATATTCTATTCTATTCTATTATATTACTAGCTGTTGCCCGCGGCTTTGCTGGACTTTTCTGGTATGTATTCGTGTTATTAATATAAAAAAATACATTACTTCCTTTTTAAATAATTTTTATTAGTTTTATTGATTTTCATTCATTTATAATAATTTTTTTTATATTTATTCATTTTTATTTGTTTTTACTCATTTTTATTTGTTTTTACTCATTTTTATTCATTTTTATTCGTTTTTATTAATTTTTATTCATTTTTAATAATTTTTAATAATTTTTAATAATTTTTAATATTTTTTAATAATTTCTATTAATTTTTAATAATTTTTATTAATTATTATTCATTTTTATTATTTTTTATTAATTTTTATTAAATTTTAATAATTTTTATTTATTTATTTTTATGATACTACTATACAAAAATCTAAAAACTATAGAGCATATCCTTATTTATTTATGCTACAATTATAATTTTTAAGTTCCAAGGTTCAAAAAATGTATACTTCTATAATAATTTTTACCCGCGTTTTCTCCCCTTAAAATGTGAAAATCCAAAAACCATGAAACATCATTTTTGATTTTTAATCAGTAGCTCTAATTCAAATTTTTATGTTTCAGACTTAAATAACAAAAAAATATATACATACTATTAAACAAATTTTCACCCCTCCAGTTCCCCCCTTAAAATCTTAAAACCCTGAAAAACTTCATTGTTTATTTATGATAAGAACCTACAATTCCAATTTTCAAGTTACTGCCTTTAAAAAAAAATCGATATTTCTGATTAAACTTTCACCCCCCCCCCGTTTCCACCCCTTAAAATGTGAAAATCCTAACACCCTAGAACACGTCATTATTAATTTGTATTCATTAGCTGCATTTCCAATTTTCATGTTTCTAACTTTAAAGAGAACCAAAAACATAGATACTCCCAAATAAATTCTCACCCTCCATTTCTCCCCCTTAAAATGTAAAAATCTAAAAACCCTGAAACATGTCATTAATAATTTGTAGTCATTAGCTGCAATTCCAATTTTTATGTTTCTAACTTCAAAGAGAACAAAAAAAATCGATAGTCCCATACAAACTTTCACCCCCCCCCCGTTTTCCCCCCTTAAAATGTGAAAATCCAAAAACCCTGAAACACGTCATTATTTATTTATGCTTAGTAGCTGTAATTTAAATGTTCATATTTCTGACTTTAAAGAACAAAGAGTTTCATTAAAAGCTCCCTCCCCCCATTTGCTCTAATTTCCCCCCTTTAAAGTTAAAATTTCCAAAAATCCTTTCTTAGCGGATGCTTATAATGTTATAAAATGAACCTATGTTCCAAATTTCAGCTTTCTAGGATCAGTAGTTTTGGCTGTAGGTTGATAGGTCAGTCAGTCAGGACAAACTATTTTATATATATATAGATATTATATTATAATTGTAATATATTTTATTAGGGCGTAAAATCAGCTAGGCTGCTCTTCCTTAAGAACACAATTGCACTTCTTTTTTTATTCGTACGTTTACCTATAAAAGTCGCAGATTACCGCATGGTGTAGGTTAACAATATTTTTGAAACAATCCTAGATTTCTAAAAAAATTTAAACAGCGATTTGTTCAAATTTTTAAATAACACATTGGTGGAGAAGATTTGTTCTCAACAAGATCAAGTGTGTTTTACTAACTGTTCCCACTTGTCTGTACCTCTTATATGGCAATATAGAAGCAACTATCATATTTTTAAAAGATATATCCATAAAATAATAATTTTACTTCTCCATCTAGCGGTAGTCCTACGAATATTTAAATAATTTGAAAGTATTTTTGTGGCCACTTTAGTCATTGAAATTTTTTCCCAGAAACTCTACTATAAATGGTTCGCCATTTTTATTGAGCCACCCGATACCTACAATTTTTGTAACCATTTAATTTGTTGTATTATTTTAGGTAGACCTTATCATTTCTTATTCTATACCGGAAAACCCAACTACTACCAAGTATTACACGATATATCGCACCATTTAATTGAACTTAATAAATTTGAGGATAGTATGATTCGAAAAAAAATACAACCTGACCCTAATTTAGCGCTTGATTTGTCAGGTTACCAGTGGATCGATAAAGAATCTTTGGAAGAAAAACTCGTTGAAACTATCGGCGATAAAGATTATGAATACTTCATTAATTGCTTCGTGCGATTAACTGCAGTTCCTTACGCCTATAAAATTAAAGATTTTATATTCGAGTACACCGAGCCTCTTCTTAATCAAGTACAAACGTATGATGCCGTCAAACCTCATATTGATTCAGATGGCAAGCAGTTCATAACAGTCTATGAGTGTCCAAGGAAAGCAGCTAGAGGAGATGTTACTATCAGATTTCCTGGTACAGGTAAAATAACAATAAATAATCAAGGAATAACGTATTTTGAAGATGTTCAATCTAGAGAACAACTATTATTTCCGCTAATTTTCACTGATATGTTAAATAAAGTTGATATAGAATGTAATGTTTCTGGTGGTGGACCATCAGGACAAGCTGGAGCATTGAGATGGGGTATTGCTTGGGGGTTGAGATCTTTCGTAGATCAGGATATTATTGAAAAAATGAGAATAGCTGGGCTGTTAACTAAAGATTATCGTACTAGAGAAAGAAAGAAGCCTGGTCAGTGGGGTGCCAGAAGAAAGTTTACCTGGAAAAAACGGTAATTTTATTGTAATTGATTTTTCTTTAATTCATTCATGTAATAAAAAAAATATGTATATTTGTTTTTTCTTTTCTAATTTGATTCATAATACAAATGCCGGGAGGTATTTCACCCTACAAGATAACGTACATGTATTACCAAATTTATTTTAAAATTGGTAATATCAGGGCAAGTACTGCTAGATAATTCCCGAATAATTTAAATAAAACCTTAGGTAATAACTTTTTCGAAAAAACATGATAAATTTAAATAAAACTATTTTGGGATTACACTAAAGAAAAAAAAAATGTGAGTTTTTTATCGGTCTATAGAAAGGAAAAACCAAAGTAAAGGGTCTATGAGAACAGGAAAAGGTAATTATTATTAATGTATATACATATCCCAGCTAGCACAAAAATATCCCATCTACGTTAATAAGCTGCAATTTTAGGCTCGCATGCAATGTACTATAATTGTAACCCTATTATCCCTGCAACTACCGAATGTCCGCAACGGCAAGACTTTTTAAAAAACACCGATACTATTAAATCATTGTATTTCTCATTTGTTCGATCTAAACTCGAATATGCCTCGTTTATTTGGGATCCTTATTATCAAATACACATTTGTCAGATAGAGTCCACACAAAGGCGTTTCCTCAAATACTTGTTTTCGGGCAGACCAAATTTATCCACCGATTGGTATTACTCAAAATGCTTTACTGACTAGACACAGATTGACAAGTCTCGACGTAAGATGAAAGTACTTCTCCATAATTACCCTCTACAAAGTTGTTAATTTTAAAATCAATTGTGAAGCTCTTTTACATATGCTTAATTTTAGAATCCCACGCGCAACCTCTCGAAACACTGAATCATTTTACATAGCGACTCCTCGGACAAACGTTCTGAAGTTTTCACCTGTATATAACATGTGTAATAATTATAATAATATTAGTGAACAGTTGGATATATTTAATTGCAGTGTTAAAACCATAAAAACACATTGTTTAAAATAATTTTGAATTTATTTACTGTAATTTTAGATTAATTATCTATATGCTTTTTGTTAAACTGTTTTCTTTCAAATGAACTCCTGTTCTGTAATTGGGTTTAACCTGTTGAACAATGTATAAATAAATAAATAAATAAGACTTTTATAGCACATCTCGTAGAAGTTATAAAGTGAAGTTCGGAAAACATCACACTAGCACTTTTACGGTACTTACCCCGAAAGTTGCTCTGAAACTTTCTATAGATGTTATAATGTGAATTCCTTCTATAGCATTATACAGTGTGTCCACGGATGGACTTAACAATACTTGTAAAAATATTTATTTTAAATTTTAAAGTACTTCTTCATAATTTCTTTTGCTTGTTAAATAAATACGATTAACGTTGAGAAATTATGAAAAATACCTCTTTTGAAAAATTTAAAATAAATATCTTTACAAGTATAGTTATGTCCATCCTTGGATACACTATATTCAAAATAGTATATTAAGGATATAGTAAAATCTAAAGAAAACAAAATAAAAAAATTGTATAAATTTATTATTAAAAAGCTATTGAAATCAAATACCAATATCATACAAGTAGAGGTAGGTAATAATACAGGTAATGCAATTACACATGTGTGATACCATAAGGTAACTATAAAACACTGACAAATTGGACAAAAGTAGGTATAAAAGGTATATAAGGAATATCTCAAAAGTTCACTAGAATCAAAAACATTGAACGCTTGCACGAAAGAGTATAATAAGGTACCTATATTGCAAAGGTTCACTAGTAGCTAAAATGGTGAACGATTGTACAAAAGTAATAAAAAAAAGTGTATTTATATAAGGTATATTTCAAAGGTCACTAGATTTTTATTAAGATGGCATTTGTACGATGCTAAAAAAATATATTTGCCTACAACTGGTACTAATCATAGTTTTAATACGATATAACTTGATTAAACTGAATATTGATAAATGTAAAGTTATAAGGTTTAATAAAACAGCTAATATCATTATGCATGATTATGTCACTGCAGGTTCTGAACTATAAATGATCTTGGTGATATTTTTGACAGGGGCCTATCGTTTATTCCTCATTTTATTAGATTCCTTGTTCCTGCCAGACTTACTAGGCATATGAAACTATTTTATGTAAATGCTCATAGAACTAACTATGGACAGAATTTATTTGTAGACCAACTGATGTCCAATTACAATAAGTATTTTTCAAATTATGACATTTTAAAAGGTTTATTTTTTAAAGTGTCAACTTTTATTACACTATTGACTTCATTTTTATACTGTGACAATTTTATTAATTTCTTTTTTATTTTATTTTGATATTTTAAACATTTAGAACTTTATATATCAGTAGCGTACTGTAAACAAATAAATATGTGAACTTAATAACATAGTTTCTTCCGTAAAAATAACTTTGTAGATAATAAATTTACTTGTTTAATTATTATTAAGAAAATAATATATATATAAAGAAAATAAAAAATATGCTCGTTTAAATCGTTGCACCTATTTTTAGTTGATTTTTACTTACTTTGTTTTTTTAAATAAATAATAACATTTATTTTTACTTTTACAAATTTTATACTTAATAGTGGATGTTCAACTTATACAGAACAATGTTTTTTAGCATGATATTCTGCTCTGAAAGAAAAAGAAATAATCTCAGATGTTATATATTCTTCTTCAACCAATTCTGTATTAACTTTAGCTTCTAAAATTCCTGAGATTTTTACTAGAATTATAATCCAGCACAAAGGAAACCTAAAACACAATATTTTTAAAATTTATTTTTAGTGATTAAAATATTATTACACTAGGGCGACCATACTTACAGCAATTTTTCTGTATTGTAAAGCATTTTTAAAGTTTGTCCAGCAATTGGTATTGTGCAGCAAACGTACAGCAAAATGGCAGAGGTATATATATCCAGTGAAATGCTGTATTTATCCACCAAAACGTCACTACTGTCCAGCAATGGTAATATTTAATTTACTGAAACGTAACAAATTTAAATGTTATTTATCTTTAGTGAACTACATGAGCACTTCTATACTGCTGTTCTAGCAAGAAAGGTTTTATCTGCAAAATTAGCAGTTTTTTTTATGTGCATTTGTCAACATTTTATCTTTCTCGATACTGAAAAGGAATGTCTTATTTGTAACAAAGGTACTAAAATGTTAAAAAGTTACACAAAAAAAGGTTTAAAAGATAATAAATATAAAGTTTCAGATAGGACTTCTCTTGTTAGGATGGCAGTATATGACTTCTCTGTTTTTGTATTTTTATAATTGGGAGTAGGGTTGAGTATCGGTCAAAGGTATCAATACCGGTATCATGTGAGATACTTTGTGGTAGAGGCATCGATACTGTTCGATATTATGTTAAAGATATTGATATTTATAAGTCTCGAGTAACAAAGTATCGAAAAAGTAAAAGATTTTTGTTAAACGGCTGGCAACCCCCATTCAACAGGACGGAGTAGGGAACTTAACTAATAACAAGAGTGCATCAGTAAAGTATATTCTGTAGTCGACACCTTTTCTTTCTCTACTGGTACTCTACCTGGTACAAGTTATAGTGTCAATAACTGGCAATTTACCTTATAATTAAATAACAAAAAAACAGTGGTAACGCTTAATCATATTACCAAGTTTCACCACATGCAAAAACTAAAATATTTCAGTACAAATATTTGAACAAACCTTATAATCTCCGACCACACACATAGCGATACAATACTTGCTTCTAAGTATCACTATGGCGATAGTATTGGTAATTCAGTAATTCAGTGCCTAAATATCGATACTTTCATTGTTTAATATCGTTACTTCTATAGTATTAAGGCATCAATAAGATCCCTATTATCGTGTAAAATAAATATTTCATCATTTAATTGTATCTACTTGTTTACAATGATTTATTTTTTATTGTATTTGGAAATTGAAATTTTGCCATCTAAAACAACAAACAATAAATTAGAAAATTTATTGAAAAGAAGAAAACAACTTACCAAACTTATTCAAACGTATAGTTTCCAATTTCTTTAAAATCTGAAATACGGACAAGAAAAAGTGACAATTGACATTTTTTTATGTTTTGTTGGTTATGACTTATGACAAACGAATGGCTACGTTCGAAAGTCCATAGTACTTCTCCTGGAAACTTTTTTAGCAAGTTACTTAATTACGTTGTGTTATCATAACAGGCAGGTTAAATACGTAAGTAACAAATAGATGTTTCACGAGGTTTTGATTTCCCTCAACAACTTCTCATTAACGTTGCAATTACGTTGTATGGGTATGTTATTATGTTCCCTTAAAACAACATCGCCGAAAGGCTTGGTAACGTTATGTGCTAGCTGGGAAGAGTATCAGTCAAAGGTATCGATACTGGTATCATGTGAAATACTTTGTGGTACAGACATCGATACTGTTCGATATTATGTTAAAGATATCGATATTTATAAGTATCAAAGTATTGAACAAGTAAAAGATTTTTTTTTATCGGCTGACAACCCCTATTCAACATGATGGAGTGGGGAACTTAACTAAAAACAAGTGTGCCTCAGTAAAGTATATTCTGTAGTTGACACCTTTTCTTTCTCTACTGGTACTCTACCTGGTACAAGTTATAGTGTCAATAACTGGCAATTTAACTTATAATTAAATAACAAAAAAAACAGTGGTAACGCTTAATCATATTACCAAGTTTCACCACATGCAAAAACTAAAATATTTGAACAAACATTATTCCTGACCACACACAGCGATACGATACTTGCTTCTAAGTATCGATATGGCGATAGTATTGGTAATTCAGTATCAGTGCCTAAATATGGATACTTTCATTGTTTAATATCGATACTTCTATAGTATCATTGTATTTAGATAAATACAATGATAGTATTGAGACATCAATAAGATCCCTATTATCGTGTAAAATATAGGCAGTCATTTAATATTGCAATCTAAAAGAACAGACAATAAATTAGAAAATATGTTTCTATTTTATTGAAAAG